CCAGGTTTGCTGGTCCAATAGAGCCCGGTGGAACCACTGAGACTATGGTCCCTAGCTGCCCTTCAGGTCTAGAATTGAACCTACACTTGTGGTTGCCAGCCAAACAATGTACAGGCATGTGAGTTAAACATTTACCTCAAGTAGACACATGCTCTGGAGAGAACTATCATGGGAGAAGGAAGGGCTGCTTATGCACAAGGAGACAGCTCAGGGCGCAGGAGAGTATGGAGGGATGGTCACTGAGAAGAGGTAACTAAGGGAGGAAGTGGGAGGGGAGCTGTTGCATTGTGGTGAACTGTGGTCAATGACATGAGACAAAGTGTATGTGAACTGATGTATGGAAAGTGAATTTGCTCTATAAATCTTCACCCAAATCACAGTAAATTAAAAAAAAAAAAAATGCCTAGAACATGCCTTTAATCTGATCTTGATTTTTAACTATGCACATTGATATCAACTCTTAAAAGAGCTCTTTTTGGAATTCAAAAGACATGCATTTCTACTTGTAGTTTTCTTTTATTAAGCTTTTTCTCGTTATTGAAACTTTGTCCCTTCTACTTTTTATTTTAGAAACCAAAAGTCTATAAATTACTTTTCCTTGTGGGTTTTAATTAGGAACTCATTATAGATACATAGCATAATACTTGTTAATAAAGATACTTAGTGACAATTAATATGATTATAAATGGAATTACTAAAGTAAAACAGGCTTTTAGGAATGGTGTGTGTTGCTTTTACTAACAAGGTGAAAGTGGTCTGTTTAATTAAAGAGATACTAAATAATAGAGTAATAATAACTGTATTTAGTTATTATTACTCTAAATAGAGTTATTATTACTCTATTATTTAGTATCTCTTTAATTAAACAGACCACTTTCATGTAATAGTAACTCTATTATTTAGTATCTCTTTAATTAAACAGACTACTTTCACCTTGTTAGTGCAAGCAATACACACCAGTCCTAAAGTGCCTAAGGCACTTGACTACTGACCAGAAAGCTGGCGGTTCAAACCCACCAGCCACTCTTTGGAAGGAAGGTTCGGCAATCTACTTCCGTAGTGATACTGCCTCAGAAACCCAAGGAAGGATCACTATGAGTCAGGTTCGACTCAACAGCACA